TCCGCTGATGGGCAGACCCTTCCCAATATTCCCAAGCCTGCTTTTTCCATGAGTGAACCCAAGTTAAGAAAACAGAGCTTTCTTCTCAGACCACTCAAGCCCCTGAGCCAAGTTATATCAGTACCCAGAGCTCCCTGGGGCCCAGTTCTCAAAGCCTGTTCCAGAGACGTGTTCTGGGCAGTGTGAGTCACGCAGCTCCCGTCCTTGTGGCCACAGAGGACGCAGGCACACCCGGGCCCCCACCTCCTAGCAAGTCTCTCCTTGCTCATTTTGGGAAGCAAGACTACTGCTTTGTCCAGAATCGGAAAGGCACAGAAGGAATCTTTAGTCCTCGCTCTAGATCTCCAAAAGCTGGTCTGAGCACTAGGGACGAGTCAGTGACAAAGTTCTTGACAACCGGTGACAAACGGAGAACAACACGGACAAAAAGGGGTGTGTCTGAAAACACTCGAGGCTTCTTACATTTTTGTTTTAAAATTAATATTTCTTTAAAATAAAATGATGGTCACTGACATTGGATGACATTTTTTTTAACGTCCTTACTTGGCAAAACTGAAAGTTGGCATCTCTGGTCCCTCCTCAAAAAATATATGTATTTTTTTTAAATAAAAAGTCTGGGACCAGGCTGGGAGGGCTAGTGGGAGGGTAGAGGGTGAGGCAGGCAGGGATGGTTAATGGGTACAAAAAAAAATAGAAAGAATGAGTAAGACCTACTATTGGATAGCACAACAAGGTATTATGGTCTATATAGATATATATTTTTAATACAGATATTATAGTCAATAATAACTGTATATTTGGAAATAACTTAGAGGGTAATTGGATTATTTGTAACTCAAAGGATAAATGCTTGAGGGGGATGGATGTCCCATTCTCCACGATATGCTTATTTCACATTGCATCACAACATCTCATGTACCCCATAAATATATACACCTATGTACCCCAAAATTTTTTGTAAGTCTGGGACATACTGTGGTAGATGGCACACCACAAAAGAGAGTAACAGCAAGTCCTAGGGCCAGAACCACAGACTCAGAGTGAGGAGGGCACCAGAGCAGCGGTCCAATCTCTCTTTGAGACTTAAGGATGCTAGAACATCCCTCAGTGACAGAGAGCGCCTTCCCTCTGTGCATAGCGCTGGCAGTTAGGGAGTGTTTCCTTGTATTGTGGAGAAACCTGCACGTGCTTTACCTGTACCTATGCCTGGGACCACCTAGAGTGAGACCTTTCCTTTTCCAAGGACAGCCTTTCACCTGCGGAAAACAGCCTCCACTCCCCACTGCTTCCCACTCCGACTTGCACAGACAGTTTTGTTTGCTGTGCAGAAGCTCTTTAGTTTAATTAGATCCCATTTGTCAATTTTTGCTTTTGTTGCAATTACTTTTGGCAACTTCATCATGAAATCTCCGCCCATGCCTGTACCCTGAACGGCATTGCCTAGATTTTCTTCTAGGGTTTTTATGGTTTGGAGTTTTACATTTAAATCTTTAATCCACCTTGAGTTAATTTTTGTATAAGGTATAAGGAAGGGATCTGGTTTCAATTTTCTGCATATGGCTAGCCAGTTCTCCCAGCATCATTTATTGAATAGGGAATTCTTTCCTCATTGCTTGTTTTTGTCGTGTGTCAAAGATCAGATGGTTGTAGGTGTGTGGCCTTATTTCTGGGTTCTTTATTCTGTTCCATTGCTCTACATGTCTGTTTTTGTGCCAGTACCATGCTGTTTTGGTTACTGTAGCCTTGTAGTATAGTTAGCTGAAGTCAATTTGCCCCTTTGCTTCTCCTAACCCCAATCATTCCTCTTGTGACGTGACTTGCCCAAGATCATGTGGCTAGCAAGTGAATCCAAACCTAGTTCTTTCAGGCCTGGCCCAGTGCCCTATCCCTAGTTCTCTAGGTGGGGCAGTGGCTCGGGATTTTCCCTTCATAAGATGGTTCTGGCTGCTGGAGACCAGTTGGAAAGGTAAGAAAGAAACCCAAGTAGGAAAAAAAAAAAAGCAACATACAAAAAAAATCAATGGGATCCCAATCAACATGTATATATCTGCACAAATAAAAGTCTGGAAGGAAATAAGCCGTAATGATCATGGCAGTCATCCCTTGAGCTAGACTAATATACCATTTTTATCTTATTTTTGTTTTTCTGTGTTCTCTAGTTTTTCTACAATGAGCTGGCTCTTATTTGTCTAATAGAATAAAATCATGACCATTTAAGATTAAATCAGAAAAGTAAAATTAAAGTCATGTGGCCAAGACCCTGCTTCCCAGCTGTTCTCCAGTGAGCAAGCTCGGGGGGAAAGGGGAGTCTGAGAGTCTAGAAAAGGTGGAGCATCCCAGCCCCGGCCTGTGCACCTAGATTATCTGCTGGGAAGAGCAGGCCTTGCTCCACCTGCCCCACCCCAGGTCTTCTCAAGCCTTGCTGCACCCCACCCCTAACCCCAACAGGCTCCTCACCCATGACATGGAAGAGAGGAACAGGGGAAGCATAAAAGAGGGTGCAGAAGACAATGGCTCACCTCCACTGGGTCCCTTACCCAGCACAAGGTATTCATATTGGTTTATAGATGGGGGGATGTAACATGCATGGAGTGTGATAGCGCCAGGCCCAGACTCAGTCCCCCTGATCTTAGTCCTTTGGGGCTCCAAACAGAGACTCCAGACCCTGCTGAGACAAGGCTATTACTGGAGAAGAATGTGTTGGGGCCATGGGTCACCAACACCCTCTATGCCACCCCTCCAGTTCGGCTCCCCTTGGGCCCTCTGTGGCACCTGGAAGACCCAGGCACATGGTCACTGCTCAGCCAAGCCCTGATTAGAATAGGGGGCCCTGCCTGGGTCAGAGTTCAGACTGACTCCTCTAAAACAAGGACTAGTCCAGACTCTTCCATCATGTAGCCCCTGGAAAGTTGTTTCCCTCCTGGGACCTCAGTTTCCTCACGAATAAAATCAGGGCAAGGAGCATTTGACAGTGAGTAGACTGGGTGGTCTCCAAGTTTCTTTCCAGTCTTAACATTCAGAGAGTCTGGGACTGACCGGTGACCCTGCTTCCACCCAGGGGAGGATAGAAGCTTCTCATCCACCCTGCCTCTCTGGCTGGCCCTGGCCCCGGGTCCCTCAGCGGATGGCCTGGGTTTGAGAGAAGTCCCAGGCGCATGTGTACATGTGGTGGAGTCCATGCACTTGTACACGTGGGGTGTGACTGTGTGCAGGTGAGACCAGGAAGTGGGGGTGCCAGGAAGACAGCCTCCCCATTTTGTTTTTGTCACAGCCACAGTCTCCGATTTACTCACCTTTCTGAGGATTCTATTTCTTTCCCCTCCAGAATCCCAGCTTCTCCCAGCTCTGCCCACCCACCTACCCACCCCTCACCTTTTCTCATTATTGTCTTCTCCACTCCTGCCTCTATTTCAAGACCGATCTTTGCGCATTTTCCTCTATCTCTGTCTGCCCTACAGATAGGCCTGTCACTTAGGAGGGGCGGCGCAGCTGTGGCTTGAATGACATGTCTGTGCCCCCTCCATGTTCCTCCCTCAGGAGCCAGCCTCCTCCTCCCTGGTGTCCCCGGGCCTCTTCCAAGTGGTGGCCACAGCTCTCAGAGCCCAGTTCGCTCCAGACAGAAACGAAGATGGGCTCTCATTGAACAATGACAAACTGAAATCATTATTCTGCCAAGAACCAAATGAAAAATAGGAAAGCCTGACGTAGCCATGATTTGTTAACATGACATTGCCTCTCAATGCGATGCACAAATTTTAATTAAAATCTCAGGAGTGATTTTGGAGTCTTTTATTGTGTGCCTCTGGGCTCTTCCAGGCTGCCCTGGGGGAAGGGCAGGGGCTCTTCATCACAGGGATAAAGGCTCAGATAATTGTCCCTAAAGGATTGGGAGGTTGGGGGAGCAGGGGCAGCTCAGGCTAGCACTGCCTGTGAAGTCAGGAGTCTTAGAGTGCACATGGTCATTCCCAGCCTCCCCCTACTGCTCTACCCGTTTTACAGGTGAGGAAACCAAGACCAGGGAAGGTTTGCCAAGGATCCACCCATAGCAAGGGTGTGTGTTTGGGCGGGGTGGGAGTGTGTTCTGGGTACTTGGAAGGTGAGATTCAGCCCGGGAAAAGTTGTGGAAGCTGAGGGAAATGAGCATTCAACCAGCCCTCTGTGTAACAGGAACCTCCAGTCCGGGAGCATTGGCTAAATTGAGGGTGAGATGAGGAGAGAGAGGATTGCAAGAGCAGAAATGCAAAAGCCCTTCTTTCCTGCAGCCACTCCTGGAGCTGGAAGAAGGCAGTTTGGGAGGACAGTCTCTGGGCCCCAAGCCCTGCTCCTTCTGGTTTCTCAGAGAAGAACCTCAGAAAATTATCAGTTCCTCCAGAAAAGCCCAAGTCCACTAAGGCAGCCTGAGGAGAAGAGAAAGGCTGAGGGACTGGGCCGATGGCTGGGGTTTCTCCCTGGCTTCCTCAAGGACTGACGGTCCTGCAGGGGATCCTGGCCTAGGACCACTTGCCCTAGTTTGGGGCACAACAGACAGCAGAGGAAACTGGCTGGTGTGGGGTCGCTGGGGTGAGGATTAAGTAAGGAATGAGCAGACAGCGTGGGGTGGACTGCAAGCTGAAGCCCACCCAAAGACCCACAGGCTGGCCTCGGAGGCTGATCAGCTGGGTCAGTGAGCACCTCCAGCTGGGGCTACCACCTCCCACGGTGAGGCCTGGAGCAGGTCTCATGCCCCCTCTGCCCCTGGCCCCACCTGAGAAGTAGTGACAGTTATCACACGGTCCTGCTCTAGGACCGAGGCGAGGATGGAGGGAGGCCAGATGCATGCAGGAAGTGTCTGGGAGCCATGTCATTGTGCTCCCCTGCCTGGAGGATCAGGAGTCCCTTGGAGTGAGGTGACCATCCCACAGCATGGAGTGCCCACCCCGCCCCACCCATTCCAGCACCCATGAGCCCATCAGCCAGTCCCACTGATGCTGCCCTCGCCCCACCCGCCATCCTGGACTCACCCGCAGAGCCGGCAGGGAGCTGACCTGGTCCATGGTGAGCGTCGCCTCCTTGTAGTACTTCCCAGGAGGGCAGAGCTTCAGGAAGGTGTCGTGGATACTGAGAAGAGAGGCATGAGGGCCGTGTGGCCGGGAGAAGGAGACCAGCAAGCCTATCTTCTGCTGCAAGGGGTGGGGCTGTCTCTTTGAGGAAGGAGACTCGGGGTCGACCGCAGAAAAGGCGGTAATCAATAATAATAAAGCGCAGTAATAAATACGTCTTCTAGAAACATCCCTGGACCCTCCAGTGTGCCAGGCACACCATGCGGGATGCAAAGATGAGTCAGGTGAGAGGAAAGTTAGGCGAATATGCCCTGTAGCCAGCAGCACACTCTACGAGGGTTTGTCGTAGGATGTCAGAACTGAAGGGGCTTATGTCCAGTCCCTCGGTTACAGATGGGGAAGCCAGCAGGACCTTGGGGAAGCCAGGGTCCACACCTCTGGCCATCTGCCAATTTCCATCCTCAACCCGAGAAAAGAGGTCACTTTGTGGGTCTGAGTGAGCCAGGATTAGAACCCAGCTGCCTGCAGCCAGCTAACCACCAGCCTTGCCAGGCCACTTGACAGCAAGCTTGGTGCTAGGAGATCGTGGACTGAGTGGTCTTCCTAATCATCCCTGTCGGCAATGTCTCTGTCTATAGGATCCCATGCCAGTCAAGAGGATTTTGGTTATAAGATACAGGCAGATGGTGAAATGGCCATGTGATCCCTGAGAGTAAGAGGGTGGGAGGGAGCTCTGCCTCAGGCTGAGAGAGGATGAGCCCTCATTCCCTGTCCCTCTTGCCCTGAACCTGGGTCCCTGTCCACCAGCAGGCTCTTAGGCCTACAGGTCCAGCAACCAAGGCAGCCAGTGGAGGTGAGAGAGTGGTGCCCTGGGGCCCAGGAGGCCTGGATCCCAGAACCTGAACTGCTGTGGCAGGGCTGTGTGACCTCGGGCAGCTCACTTGACATTTCTGAACCTTAGTTTCATCATCTGGATAAGGGACGAGAATGATACCTCTCTTGGAGGTCTGTGGCGGTGGGGCGGGGGTTCAGTGTGAAGGAGGCTGAAGGGTTTGTGTGTTTGTGTGTAAATGGTAGATGGTGGGTGGTGGGGTCACCACAGGCTGGTTAAAAACACTGTCTCTAGAGCCAGACAGATTTACGTTGAAATCCTGACTTTGCCACTTAATAGTTCTGAGGCGTCGAGCAAGGTTCTGAATCCACCTGAGCCTCAGTCTCCTCCTCTTTGCAGTGGGGGTAATAAATCTTCCCCCACACACTGCTGAGGATTAAATGAGGGGAGATGTATGAGCCGTCAGCGCAGTGTCTGGTAGGTGAGGGTATTTGTGTTACCCTGGGCCTCGGAGGGGATACCCAGCCTGCCCCCTCTCTGTGTTTCTCTCCTATACTCCAGGTGCCCCTGTGCCCATGGGCTGTGAATAACCCACACCTAGACTGTTACAGTGGGAGCCCACCACCCTGACCCAGACCTGCTGTCCCCTTTCTTCGTGATCCCCTCCATGCTCCAAAATTACCCCTCCCTCGTTTAATCCTTTCCTGTTCCTCTCCTGTCTGCCATCAAACCTCTACTCTCCTCGGAGTGCTAAGAGGCCAGCAATCCCATGAAAGGAATCTGTACGCAGGAGTGAGTGACTAACAGTCCCCTATTGACATTCCAGGGCATGTGGTTTGTTGACTCAAATGAGGCTCTGATTGGTGGAATTTAGGGACATGTAACTAAGTGAAGACCGGGTGCAGCGGCTCACACCAGTAATCCCAGCCCTTCAGGAGGCCGAGGTGGGAGAATCGCTTGAGCCCAAGAGTTTGAGACCACCCTGGGCAATATAGGGAGACCCCATCTATACAAAAAAAATTGAAAATTAGCCAGGCACACTGGCGCACACCTATTCAGGAGGCTGAAGTGGGAGGATCACTGGATCCCAGGAGGTTTGAGGCTGCAGCCGGTTGTGATCCCACTACTGCACTCCAGTCTGGGGTACAGAGCAAGATTCTGTCTCAAAAAACAACAAAAACTAGGTGAAGAATTTGGAGAGTGATTTTATGAGTGGAGACTCAGAAGTAGAGCAGGAGGCAGGAGGCTCTCGCAGGGCTCTGACGATGATGGTAGGTGGAGGCCTCCCACCCTGCCAGCCACACACTGTTTCACGTCTCACTGACTAGAAAAATATCCTTCAGATCCCAGCCCCAGGAGAGTGGAAAGAAACTATGCTGAGATTCTGTGTGCCCACTGCACTCTGTGCCCTGGGAGGCTGATCTCTACTGACAGCGTTCCTACCTCCCTTGCCCTTCGGCTTAAGGGAAGCTCCAGGAGGACTGGAGGTATGAGGGAGGGGTGGGGAATTTATCCTCCTCTCCCCCCAGCCCCACACGACTCTGCAGCGTCTGTGTTCCCGCCGTCTTGGGCTAGCAGCCAGCTTCCGCAGCTCCAGCTCTCAGCTGGCACCTCAGGCCTGAGGCAGTCAGGGCTGGTCCCTGGGTGGTTCCCTGGGCCTCCTTCTGAACAGTTCCTTCACTGCAAAGCACCTTCACAGACCCCGCTGAGTGTGCCACCTGTTTCCTGGCGGGATGCTCACAGATCTATCTGGATCCTATTTCTCTACCTCTAGCTATGAGACCCGAGGCAAACCGCCAGATCTCTCCAAGCACGCAGGCCCAGGTTCATATCTTGACTCTGTCCGATGGGGAGCCAACCTCCTTCCAGTGGCATTGTGCAGACCTGGGCTAGGGCGTGATGGATGGGAGCTGGAGTGGCGTGTGGTGTTCATGGAGAGCACCATGACTGCTGCCTTGACCACGTAAGGGGCCTGAGCTGTCACTAGGGTCTAGGGACTGCACACGTTTGGGAGGGAGCAGAAAGCAGGGTGTGGAATGGGTTGGGGGAGAGATTCTCCAGGAAGGTACTGGGGTGGGTGCTGGGCACCACAGGTCAACCAGGAGGAAGAAAAGCCTTCACTGCTGAACTGTCCAGTGGCCTACAAGGGGCGAGGGTCAGGCCAGGTGCAGTGGCTCATGCCTGTAATCCCAGCATTTTGGGAGGCTGAGGCAGGCAGATCACTTGAGGTCAGGAGTTCAAGAGCAGCCTGGCCAACATGGTGAAACCCCATCTACCAAAAATATAAAAAATTAGCTGGCCATGGTGGCATGCACCTGTAATCCTAGCTACTCTGGAGACTGAGGCAAGAGAATCACTTGAATTCGGGAGGTGGAGGTTCCAGTGAACTGAGATTGCATCTCTGCACTGCATCCTGGGCGACAATGTAAGACTCCATCTCAAAAAAAAAAAAAAAAAAAAAAAGGGTCAAGGGCAGTGGGAGTGGCAGGCCCCAAAAAAAAAAAAAAAAAAATCACTGTCATTGTTAGAATTGCCGGCCTGAGGTGATAGAGAGCAGACCAACTTTCAATAAGACCAATTTTCAACAAAAAATAATGTTTTGTTATTTTTTTAAATCCCTAAGGCAATGCGCAAGTGCACTCGGGCTCCTGCCCCCACCATGGGCACCACTGGGAGTGCCCGCTCTGGGCAGCCAGCTCTCACGGACATTCTTCATGTTTCATGCCAATCTTGCAAGGAAGGGCCCATTGTTTCTTTTACAGATGAGGAAGCTCAAAGTCAAGTAGGTAAAATCATCTGCCTAAGGTCACACAGTGGTACATGTTAAAGCCAGAGATACAAACACCAAAGCTCTTTCCCCAGGAGGCACCAGGGGCTGCTGAGGGACAGAGAAGAAACTCCCCGGCCCTCGCCACCCTCCTGTCATGACAAAGCCTCTGTGCTGGGTGCACTCACACACATCATCTCACCGAATTTTCCCAACAACTCCCTACGGGAGAAGTGGAGCGGCCATCATTCCTGTAGATGGGTAAACTGAGGCTCAGAGAGTTTAAGGGTTGTACCTAAGGTTATACAGCTGGGAAGAGATAGAGTGGAGGACTGAACCCCAAACCAAGTTCTTCGGGCTGTGCTGCCCACCCTTCTTCCAGGTGAGAGACTCGAGTTGCCCCCCCTGGAGAGTCCTCTGGGGGAGGGTGCTGGTGGGGCGCCTGCCTGGAGTTGGTGCCTTCCCAGGCTGCAGAGCGGGCGGGCTGCCCACAGATGAATTGTGGCTGCATCTCGGCTGCCACAAAATGTTCTCCTCCTCCAAATATGGATCAGCTGGCTCTAAATGGAACCCTGAATTAATCACTAATGGACTCAAAAGTCAAAGCCATTTGAAAAACTCACACATTCAGCCTGCCAGCAATCCAGCAGCCCAGGCCATGGCTCCCTTCCACATAGCCCGGAGAGGCAGGAGGGGCTGTCTGCAGGCTCAGGGGCCGGCCCTAAGACGGAGTGGAGGTCACTCCACTGCTGACTCTCCGTGGGACCTTGGACTCGCCAAGTCCCCTCTCGGGCCTCAGTTTCCCTTCTGTGAAATGAGAGTCACAGCATCCCCCGGCTCCCTCCAGTTTAGGCACGCTATGACTCTAGGTTTTCGTGCCTCTCTCTGGCATCCCGTTTACCCCCTTGCCTCTGAGACCCTCTAGCTTAGTAGTTCTCAACAGGGTCCCACGTAAGAATCAGGTAGAGAGTTTGTAAAAGGATCTGCCCTCCCCACTCCTTGAGGTTCTTATTCAAGGCCAGGATACAGCCCTAGGCACCTACAGGTTCTACAAGCTTCTCAGTATTTCTACTATCCCAGCAAGATCAAGAGCATGACAAGCCCGAATTTCCACTCCTCAAGCTCCAGCCTGGACTTGGCTTTCTGGCTTCACCCCCACCCCATGGGGTTAATAGTCCTTTGCTCTATGGTACTGCCTGCAGATAGTAGATATTTTACAAATGGTCCTTCTTTAGCCTGAAAATGTGGCTTTTAGTTCCCTGATCTACTACTTGCAATCTGTGTGGGCTTAAGGAAATTACTTCATTTCTTTGAGCTGATTTCCTCATTTGCAAAAAGTAGGGATAATAATACCATGATAATAACAGCAGCCACATAATCGGTGCTTACCCATGTGCCAGGTATTGCTCTCACAATGACAGATTTGATCTTCTAGTTGTCCTAATAACAACCTTGTGAG